GTCAGTCTGACATCAAAAGAAATTTCAATTTTTCCTATAGGAATAATTAAAATATTAACTTTAACATTTTTGTTTAGGAAAATTTAAAATTTCTCTAAGGAAAAGTTAAAATTTTAATTTGGTCTAGAACAAAGTAAAATTTCATCTTTTTCTAGATTTTTTCAAGGAAAAGTTACGATTTTAATTTCGCCTAGGAGAAAATAAAATTTTAATTTTTCCTAGGAAAATTTTAAATTTTCCTGAATTTTAATTTCTCCTGCGACATCTACTCTCTAAAAAAAGAAGGTGCTTAGAAAAGAAGCAAGAAGATGCAATTCTAGAAGAAGGTGCAATAGAACCTGTTTAAGGGTGTAGCAAACATCCAAAACCTTTTAAGGTTCGATAGTTTTTGCACTGAAGCATCAAAGGTTCCAGCCGATGTCAAGAACCATTCCAATAAAATTGGTTCAACATTTTAAAAAAGATTCTAGCATGAACCTTTGATTTTTTTATTGAATTATTTTGCAGCTGCAGTCATCCTGTATATCTGTGTTAAAGACTAACGTCTAGATATTTTCTCCTCTTTCTTCAACTCTCTTCGTCTCTTATATTCTCTCAATATATTTCTGTATTTGTACAATATGATATATATGTTCTCTACTCTCTTGTCTATACTATACGCTCTTTAAATACGGTGTCCTCTCAGTTCGCCCTAAATTAGTCTCTCTCAATTAGTCCCATAGTTGTTTTTCTCAATTCGCCCCAACTAACGAGTTTGATTTTCGTAACTCGTGTATTTTACTCGGAGTTCGTCCCAGATTTCTAAAGTATAATTTTCTAAATTTTATCACTTTATTTTTCGTATCAAGGCCTAATTAACTTATTACGATGAAAACTAACAACACACAGTATTTCTTCCTACACTCTAAAAATGCGGTAATGGTAAACTTTTCATCAAAGGGGTTGTCATGTTAGAAGACCTAGGTCTTCTAATGTGTACTGAGTTTTAAAGATTTTAGACGGGTGTTATATTGTGTTCCAAAAAAACCCACGTACTTCACTTTTTGAGTTTTGTTCCATTTACAACAAATTTATTTCTAATTTGTAAAATAATCCTTTCTGCTGGATAAATATTTATCTTCATGTAGGCATGGTAACGGTTCCACCCAAACTATCGTTTTGTTAGCGGTATAACTGACGTTCTTTTCTAAAAAGAGTCTTAGAAACAGAGGGTCTGTTATTTCAACCTTTACATGACGTGGCCGATGTCTTCTATTTAGGGAGAGTCTTCTAATGTGACAACCCCTTTAGTTACAAAATGAAAAACCCTTTTTCGTTGTTTAATCTACGGGTGACGTTTCATCCAAATCCCTCTTTTTTACAGGACTTTCCTACTAAAAAAATAATAGGACTTTCGTTTCGAAAACCCTCGTTTTACAAGACTTTCGTACCTATTTTTACAGGGTCTTCGTAACACTATTAGCAGAGTAATATCGTAACGATAATGCAAGGAATTAATCTCTAGTAAATGCTTTAACAGGGCTTTCGTAAGACTCTTTTACACGGCTTTCGTAAGGGAATCTATATATACTTTTTATCCTAGATATATATGATAATGCTGTATTACAGGGCTTTCGTAACGACTACGTGCGGTCGGCTGAGCATGTGAAATTAAAAAAAGAAGTTTTTTTGTTATTTTCTATTTTTTGAAACATTTTCGTTTACTGCTGTTTCTTGTCCTTCTTCACAAGCTATTTATGCATAATATCTTTTTTTGCTTAGCTGTTATTTTGGATAAGAGAGTTTGAGAAGAATAAAGTTTTTCTATCTTGTTGAAAATCAAAAAAGTTTTTGTCGAACTAACAGACATTGAGTAAGGGAGTTAGAGCGGAGAGAACGTGAGAGTCTAAAGTAATAGGACATCTTTTGTGCATTACACTAGAAAGAGAAAACAGATAGAAACAGTGAGAATGAATGGGTACAACCACAAATCATTTCAACTTGAAAAGTAAGTATACACTTCGTTACAATAGCCTTGTAAAAGACTACGAAAATCCTGTTATAACAGGATTTGATGATTAATGCTTCTATAGAGGATATTAACCATTAACTATTTTACCATAAAAAAGTACACACAGACTTCGTTACGAAAGCCCCGTTAAAGAGTGTCACAGAAGCCCTGTCGCAGCATCTACTTAGACATTAATCCCCTTGCATTATCTTTACGAAAGTCCTATAAAAAGTGTTACGAAAGCCCTGTTTTTTTAATGTATGTCTTTTTACCGTGTTACGAAAGCCTTACTTTTTACCGGACTTTCGTAATGCTAGAGGTCTGGATGAAACCTGACCAATGTACGATGCTTTTTCAGAATGTACCTTTTCTTCTACGAAACATAAACGGATTCAGAAATGGTTGCACTTCTCTATACCCCTTTTCCTACGCAATCCTTTTTTTTACAGAGTAGTACTCATATAAAGTGATGGCAACATGTCAGAACGCAGAACGATTTGTATTTGTGTCGCAGAGCGCATATGAAGAGGAGTAAAAGAAACAAATATGCGTCATGAAGTAGAATGCGAATAACTAACACGAAATTCAAGTTGGAAAAAGGAACAGCAATCAAATCGGTTCTTGTGTTCCTCAGAGTCATATGAAAATACAGTAAAAATGCGCAGAAAAGTCAACTTGAAAAAACTATTTATGATTCAACATACTGTGAGCGGAAAAAACAGAAACAGGCAATCATGACAAACACAAACGCCAATCCTGCTGGCGTTGCTGATACATCCACAACGGTCAAACTGAAGACGAGGTTATACGAATTGACTAACGAAAATACCGCAAATGATAGCGACGCGAAGGGAGAGCGCATTACTCTGCTATGGTGTGATGGATCGATGGACGAAGAGCCATTTACCAACGACGTTACATATACTAAAACAATGCTGCATGACTTGAGTAGCTTCGTGCACTATTGCTCAAGTGAAGCTGAGTGCATTGCTTATTTGGCTACATTTCTGAAAAATGAAACAATCCTTGTGGTCGTCTCCGGTGCTCTTGCATCCAAAACGTTGCTCGACATAGCAAACACTATTCGTCGTGTCGATACCATTTTCATTTTCTGCATGGAGGAGAAGAAATTCGAAGCCCTTGCGCAGCATCCAAAAGTCGCAGGCATTTTTCACGAACAAGAAAGCCTGAAATATAGCATTATGAAAACGATGCGAGCAATCGAACGACAAGCGGCCATTTTACAACTGTACGATCCAACAAAACAAAGATTGGCACGTAATCTGGATCGCGAAACGGGGTCGTTCGTCTGGCTCCAGTTGATTAAAGAGGCTATTCAAAAAATGTGTGCTACTGTACCAAATACTACTTCAGAAGATTCAAACGGAAAACAAGAAATGCTGCACCAATGTCGGGAGTGCTATCGTGATAATGAAAAAGAGCTAAGGAACATAGCTGAGTTCGAGCGAACATATAGTGGGAATCAAGCAATCACGTGGTATACGAGGGACAGTTTCATTTTCAAAATGATCAACAAAGCTCTGCGCACAGAGGATGTGGAAGCACTCTACACGTATCGTTTTTATATCGCCGATCTTTGCGCATGTCTCGCTGAAAACAGTAAATTACTTCGAGAGTACACAAGTACGCCTACACTCAAAGTCTATCGTGGCATGAAGCAGTCTCGTGAAGAGACTGAACGTTTAAAAGACAGCATTGGACAGCTTATATCGGCTAATGCCTTCTTGTCAGCCAGTCGCACGAAGGAAGTAGCTCAGGTTTACGCTGCTGTGGGCAGCAACGCTAGTGCACACAATGATCTGGAATCTGTTATCTTCGAAATTGAAGTTGACCTGAAAGCAGAGCACCCTGCAGTCGTAGCCGACGCATCTTGCTACAGTTATTTCAGAGACGAAGATGAAATTTTGTTCGATTTGGCAACCGTGTTCGAAGTTGAATCAATGACTTACGATGATACAGCCAAACTGTGGACATGTCGCATGAGAACGTCTAGCAAAGGTTATGCCATAGCGCAAGAATACATTGAACTTGAGCGAGCAGAAATGAACAAAGACGACGTGGGAATTTTTCTTGGCATTATTCTTTTCAAGATGGGCGAATATCGAAAATCAATCGTTTACTTAAATCATCTAAGAGACCGAAGGCCAGATGACGCCTATGTTCTTTTCATGCTGGGCAAAGCGTATGGTGTCCTATACGAACACGAGCAAGCGCTCACCTATTATGAAAATGCCTATCGTGTTTCAGTGAATAAAGATCCGCCTGATTTGGCTCACGCCGCGCTAGTGAATACATACGCTGGCCTTGTCTATTATTACGAATGCAACTATAACAAAGCCTTATCAAGCTATGCGGATTCTTTGAACAAGTACAAAACTGTAAACATGACCGAGCAGGTGTCCTTCGCTCATGTTCTCATAGGACTCGGCTATGTTCACTTAGTTCTCGGTCTGGACAACTCAGCGCTTGAACACTTTCAACAAGCTTTGCAAATAATCCAACAACAAGCACCGTTCGACCTTCCCAATTTGTGTCGTGCCCATAGACATGTGGCAACCGCACTATATCAAATAGGTGATTATGATCGAGCGTTCAACTTTATGAAAACATCATTGGATATTGGAAAACGAATTTTCACTCGAAAAAGTCTTGCATACAGTATAATTCTCAATGCTATGGGCAAGGTTCTCTACAAGAAAGGCGAATACGAACAAGCGCTCGTACAACACCTTGCTGCGCTTGAAGTCAGTCGATGCACGCTGCCACATGAGAACAGTCTTATTTTGGTTTTACCTTATAACAATATCGGCAAGATATTTTACCGAACTAAAAAGTATAGTAGTGCCGCCGAACAATACGATAAAGTATTATCTATATTGACAACGACGCTTACAAACGATCACATCTACACTGCTTATACATTAAAGAACAAAAGTGAACTATTCCTGGCTCAAGGTGAACTTCACAACGCTGAAGATTATCTCAACCGGTCACGTAAGTCAAACTTGTTTTGATTGCTAATAAGTCCTGACAGTCGATATACATGACCCGCTGGATACTTTCTTGCACAACTACGTGAGCGAATTTTTCAATACTAACTTACTGAAGTATTAGAAACCATAACAAGCGTCTAAAACCATTTTATTTCGGCAAAAAACGACGAAACTCATAGCATAGATTTCTACCACCAACCAAAGTTTCGAAACGAAGAAGAAACATATGCATTTGAAGGAGGTATATTCAGATTTCCAAAAATCGAAACTTCCGAAAATATCGAAATTCCTGTAATGCCCTTTCAAAATATTCATATCCATAAACATTTCGTAGAAATTTCCCCGAAATTTGTGAATTTTCACATACATGTTAACGAAAATTTCCAGAAATTTCTGAAATTATCTTCACTTCAGCGAAGAAAGCTGCTGGCGGTAATTACTCATCCTACAGAACCTAGAAATTTCGCCGGAAATAATTAATAGAAAATTTCTATAATTTCTTTATTTATATCATATAGATATGATAAGACAGATATAGATCTAAACATCCCTACTCGAAGTAGAAGAATTTTCAGTAATTTCTGAAATTACTTGGAAATTCCCATAATTACGTCC